TTTGTTGGTGGGGAGTCTCAGTACGCCGCCCGCCCCACAGTGTCAATCACAATCCCATTATGGAGAGGTCAGGAACACAGCTCTGCAGGTAAAGCCTCGCTCCGGCCTGTTTATCCCTCCACCGGGTAAAGCCAAAAATAATACATCCACAACACTCTGCCCCGCCATATTTCAAGGGCAACTTTACGATCTAAGGAAGCGTTTTTTCTGGTTTGCTTTGGAGATTTTTTTTTTTTCCCCTTCCTTGCAATTTGAGCCCAAAGCCTCCTGGGTAATTTTACGAATACATATCAGGACCTTTAGTTCACAGGCTGCGGCAGGCTCGCTCAATAATGCCTTCAGCAATATCACTTTGAGAGGGCCACACCAAAACAACAGAGGCTTGGAGCTGTGAATATTAATATATGGGGAAAAGAAAGAAGAGAACATGGCGTACTATGGGTTGAAATTGAAGTAATATAAAAGGGTATGACTATATGCCTATGTCCTAATGGGCTACCGATGTGAAGTAATCCCAATAGTAGATATGTAAAAGACACCCACGAGAAAACCAGATGAAACACACTTAACTACACATTTACTTTGAGCGAAATAGCGCTGGCCAGTGTCTTTCCCTTGGTAGCCATTTTCTAAAAGGGAGTGGTGATTGGCAGGCTAGCGTTACCGCCGGCAACAGGACCCCCGGGCTTCCTCATCACTATGCCGACGGCGTGATCATTTCTGGACGTTGATTAAAATGTTGGAGATGTTAAAGGGAGATGAAGGTTAGATCACATAGGACCCACGTGTAAAGTGGAGCCACTGTACACTATGGCTCTATTCATGCACTGGTTTGAGATCGAAAACGCTACTATAGTGAGACAAGGACAAAATGGAAAATAACAAGTTTAACTGTATAAACATATGGGATCTTGAACTCTGAGAGCTATAAAGTTCATGGATTGATTGATGAATAGATTTTCATGCATCAACTTTACAAAGAAGTTGAATATGAATTTTATTTTTAGACAGTAAAATAAATATTGGTACTGTTTTGCAAAATATCAGTATATAAAAGGATCTTATTTCATATTAATATTCATACTGATTTATGAAATAAGAGTAGTTGCGTATATCAATTGTATAGAATAATAAATCGCCAAACTTGTCATTCTTGTTGTGGTATCCATGAATTAAGTCTACATTTATATGATGACGGTCTGAACAGAAGACTCAAAAGTGACATTGCATCTTCACTTTTTATTCTGCATTTAGATGAGCGATTTTGGGAGGAAATATGGGTGCATATGGTGACGCAAACCTGTGTGGAAGTTTTCATGTCTTGCATTTTCATCAGCTACTCCTTCCACAAAGTTATCCCACTATCGATTGGTTCTCGCAGGTCTTGTCCATAGCCGCCTGGCTCGCCTGCGATGAACTGGTCCACCCAGAATTTGACAGAGGTGATTACAGATCCTTCTCTGTTCTGTTGTGTTTGTTTCTGTGTACTGTATGTATGTGACGTAAATGTGTACGCGACGTGAGCAGATCTGACCAGAGTTTTGCGTCTTGGGCAGTGTAGATGCAAACGCTACGGCGGAAGGTATTCAGTATATCATATATCAGTATATCATTATTTTGCATTTTTAAGCTCCAAAAATGCCGTCACCATCTAAATGAAAGGCACTTCCAATAAAATATTTTGTCATTTTTAACCTTAAGTGTTCTTGTTTAAACAGACCCTTATTTAAGAGAAATTTAATGAAATAATTTTTTTTTTTAAGTAAATAGTTTCCATTTCAAAATACAGTTTATACACATTTTTCTTTTGCAAAAATCTAATTCAAAAACAATATTCTTTTCTTTATTACAAACAAACTTGGAAACACATTGAGCAGAGGTGGAGCTGTCCATGGTCCTGAAGTGGCAATATTACATCTCCTGGAATTGATAACAAAAAGCAATAGAAAATGGATACAGGAGTTTATCTTTACACAATTTAATCTAATATAATACTTGAGAAAAAAATGTATGTTGCACTTTTACCAAAATCATGCCTCAAGGTTTAGTAATAAGATTTGCACAATAGGACAAATCAATGTATTTCTTTACCACAAATGAACTTGGACTTGATTCAACCTCACATGCTCTGAGTGGCAGAGGGCTCTTGTTCACTTCAGGTTTATATGTTATCTCTCCTTATAGCTCCTCCTTACATTCACTTTGCCATAGGAGCAAACAAAGACACATCTCCCCCTTCCAACACTGACAAAACACTCAAATGAGAAAAATACAGGAACCTGGATTTTCATATTTTTCCTTCTAAACTAAACACGATGGTATTATTCTACGATGACGCATTTTTGGTTTGCAGGGTGCTTTTTAGAAACAATAAGTCATGTTCTTATCTTGTTCCAGTGTCAAGAATCAAACAGGGAGAATTTTCACTTGCAAAGGAAACAATTGAGGGACTTTGTAATGGTAACACAGCATGATAAGGAACAAGAGTGGTCTTAAGAACTGTTACAAAATAAGAATGTCGTGTAGAATTCATTCAGCTCTCTGTAATCTTCAAAGTAGTTGTTTCAAGTTCAAGATCATGAATTAATTTAATAGATTTCCCCTCCATACGCTGTTGAAATGAATGTGCTGCCGTCAGTGGTGGGAGGTAATGGAGTAAAAGTAGTAAAGTATTGTACTGAAATATAAATGTTATGTATCTATACTTTCTTCAGATACTTGGTCTGTATTTTCTACTCCACTACATTTTTGAGTTGGACTAAAAAATGAAGGTATTTTTTTTATGATTGTTTGAGAGTTTCTGAAAAGGCTGAGGCTTTATTTCATAATTTGAGCAAACAGAAATGTACAATTCAAAACAGCAAGGAAAAAACAATCAATTCAGCATTTCTTTTGAACAATATATTTCTATTTAAATCAACTTTTTCATGTGATACTTTTACCTTTGCTTGTGTTTTGTTGTTTTTTTTGCTCCAGTATCTGCACTTTTACTTAAGTAACAATTGAGTACTTCTTCCACCACTGGAGACTGGTGTATTTTCGATTGAAGTGAGTGCGAGTACAGATTTGGTGCACCTTTAGGACTCCCCTCTCACAAACCCAAACATGCTCCTGATTCTGTCTCTCATTCATTTGTCATGGAAGATGTCATGATGCTGCTGCCCCCTCCAGGTCACTCACTATTCATCTGTTACACACACTCTCTCTCAAAACAGAGAGAGAGAGAGACAGTGTGTGTAACCCTGCATCTCTCTCTTCTTTTTTCTCTCTTTTTCTGTCTCTCTTTTTCTGTCTCTCTCTCTGTCTCTTTCTATGTTTCTCTGTTCTCTGACTCGCTCTCTGTCTCTCTCTATTTGTCTGTCTCTATGTCTCTTTCTCTATGTCTCTGTGGCTCTCTTTTTGTCTTGCTATCTCTGTCATCCTCTCCGTCTTTGTCTCTGTCTCTCTGTCTCTCTCTCTCTCACTCTCTCTCTCACCCCCCTCCCATGTCTCTCTCTATGTCTCTCTGTGTCTCTTTGCCCCCCCCTCTCTCTCTCTGCCTCTCTCTCTCTGCCCCCCCATGTCTCTCTGCCCTCCTCTCTCTCTCTCTCTCTCTCTCTCTCTCTCTCTGCCCCCTCCTCTCTCTCTGCCCTCTCTCCTCTCTCTTTGTCACTCTCTCTGTCTCTCTCTCTCTCTGCCCCCCCTCTCTCTCTCTCTCTCTCTCTCTCTCTCTCTCTGTCCTGTCACTCTCTCTCTCTCTGCCTCTCCCCATGTCTCTCTGCCCTCCCCTCTCTCTTTGTCACTCTCTCTGTCTCTCTCTCTCTCTGCCCCCCCCCCCCCCCCCCCCCCCCCCTCCTCTCTCTGCCCTCCCATGTCTGTCTGCCCTCCCCTCTCTCTCTCTCTCTCTCTGCTTCTCTCTCTCTCTCTCTCTCTCTTGCTCTATGTCTCTCCGGTTTTCTCTCTATCTCTTTCTCTCTCTGCCCTCCATTCTCTCTCTGTCACTCTCTCTGTCTCTCTGCCTCCCTCTTGTTCTCCCTGTCTCCCTTCCTCTCTATATCTCTCCCTGTATCTTCCTCTCTCTTTTTTTTATCTCTCTATTCTCTCCGCACTTGTTCCAGCCGACTCCATTTTACCAACCTCCTCTCAGAGATCATACTTTCAACAGCCGCATTTTTTCTTACAAATATCTTCTTATTATGAAAATGTGAAAATGAAGTTTTGGTTCTTGAAACTTTGTGTTTTGCAAAGAAATGTGATGTCCTTGTTCCCATGATTATTATCCATTATTAGAAGTAGCTCAAGCAGTTGGAGCCTCCGATAAATATTTTGGAAATAACGAGGTTCATTTTTTACAAGGAAGTAAAAGAATCCGGTCAAGTGGATTTATATGGTGTTGCAGTTCTTTCCCTCAAAAGACAGGGGGCGCTCATTGGAAAAATATGCACAAGATAGCATTAAAATAAGCAAGGTCTCTGTTTTCTTTAAAATAATACACACATACAGTTTTCAGAATTCACACAAAATGGGGGTGTTCTACATTTAGCTCTATGGTGGAATGTTTATATTATTTAATTGTACATGTGACATGTGTACGTTTTAAGTGCAGATGTTGTAGTCGTAATTGTTCTAAACCAACTCTTTCTGGTCAGATTGTGTGTTTTAATAGAGCTCAGATTTAAGTCTAACAAAGCCTCAGAAAGAGCAGTGCCTTCGGTTAGCATCACACGCCCAGGGAATGTTGATGATGCCAGCTCCAAAGTATCAATATTGCAACATTACCTTGAATTTTAACTCATTTCTCGCCACTTCAAATCCCACAGCACAAAGGATTAACTCTAAACGAAACAATGATAGTGCCATGTTCTCTCTGTGCTTATTCTAAACTAACTCCTCTTGATTTTGGTTGTTGTTGCTCCCACTCCTGCCCTGACATTGTGCCCTCGAGCCAGACTGTCTGCCTAAATAAACCCTTGTGTTGTGTGTCTGTGTTTTGATTCCCTTGTGCCCTCTCTCTGCGACAGGTGCAAGTGCAACCTTCACGCCAACAGCTGTGTGTACGACAAAGAGAAGCTGAGCTGCGAGTGTGAACACAACACCACGGGCCCGGACTGCGGCCGCTGCAAGAGGAACTACCAGGGCCGGGCCTGGAGCGCAGGGTCCTACCTGCCCATCCCCAAGGGCACCGCCAATATCTGTGAGTAACAAAAACAAGAAGTATGAAATATATAATGTCCCGCCAATATCTGTGAGTAACTAAAACAAGATCTATAAAAAATATATATATAAGACACCACCAATATCTGTGAGTAACTAATGACAACTTTTACATATATATGGGCTTCGCCAATATCTGTGAGTAACAAAAACAAGAGCTATAAACTATATAATGCTTCACCAATATCTGTGAGTAACTAACGAGTACTTCTACATATATAAGGGTACCACCAATATCTGTGAGTAACAAAAACAAGATCTATAAAACATATAATAACCCCGTCAGTATCTGTAAGTAACTAATCTGTACAGGTAACACACTGATGCATTGTAGTAACATCACACTGGGGGGTTTCTGTTTGTATTTTTATGGATTAAACAAGATATTTTCATAAATACGGATTTCATGGTCCTGTTTAGGTGATGTGACTGAAAAACAGTTGGTAAATGCTAGATTGTAACTGTAATGTTATTTGGGAAGGACTTGTTTAACAGCACAAATAATCTCATCTGTTGTAGTTCCAGCTAAGTCAGTTTTTTATGGCCACAGACTAAGTGTAACTTGAGTAATCTTAAGTAAGTAGCTTCAGACAGAGTACTGCCTACTGCAAAGTATCTGGTAATAAAACAAAAAATAACATATACTGTATTGTAACATTAAGTATTATGTGTAGTATCTATGGTCAAGTGTGCATTATTTCATTAAGTAAGTAGGGCAATGTTTGTTAATGAAAAGGTATCAAGTCACAAATGCAAAACAGTCAACATAATATCTGTTGTAGTTCCAGCTAAGTCAGTTTTTTATGGCCACAGACTAAGTGTAACTTGAGTAATCTTAAGTAAGTAGCTTCAGACAGAGTACTGCCTACTGCAAAGTATCTGTAAGACAATAATAATATCTTTTAGTAACATTTAAGATATTATTAAAGTCTGTAAGTATCTATGAAAACACAGTATGCATTATTTCAAAGATTCACAACAGTCAGGCAGTAATTTGTACAAATGACTTTGTATAAGAAAAAGTGAAACATATTCCACTTAAGTTTTATTGATAACATTGAGATAAAAATAAATGAATATTAAATTTTAATTTTAAACTGAATTCTTACATGAGGCTCATATCTGCCCTGTGACTGAATCGGTGCTGTCCATGGTGCTGAATGTCAGAGTTATTTACATGTGACACAAAAGAAAACAGTAAAAGACAAATAATAAATTAAAAATGGCTAAATATTAATTTTACACTAAAAGAAGATAATATTAAGATACACAGTCAAAAGTCACAGCAATAAAGTAAATAAATAAATACATAAAAGATAAAACATTTTGGTCATAAGAGCAATACTTGGATTAGATTGGATTAGTAACAATTTCCAAAAGTGACCAGACCAAATGAAAAGAGCAAAGCAACTCAACCTGACGATCCTTCCTTACAAAACCATTGCATAAGAAACCTATTTTCACTTTTCAATCTCTTCCTCATCCTCTGTAACACCTCGTCCACCTCCCCCAGCGCGGCGCCCCCTGTCTGCAGATATGAATCCACCATGTGTCCTCTGTGTCAGGCCCTTGTTACACTTTTCCTCTCTGTCGTATGGACACAAGCAGCAGCAGCAGCAGCAGGTGGATGCGCTCTGTGCCGTCCATGGCCTTTCTGACCATTTTCTCATCTTTCACAAAACACCCACACGTAGCCTTCTCTCTGCCCCTTTGAGCTCCCCTCTCCCTTTGGAACAGTTCACATTTTCAATTTCAAGCTTTTTTAACCTGCACAAAAAGGCAAGTGACTGGTCCAACTCTGGTAGATGAATGTAACTGCTCAACGGCTGAATACACTGCAAGTTAGTATCATGGGTTAAATGATTACAAAATATTCAGGTTTATTTGAGTAAAGTGTAAATGACCTAGATTATTTAAAAGGTGCGCAGTGTGACTTTTTTTGTTGTCGGGCCTGCTATCTGCTTGTTACCATGGAAATGTCATTGCTTTGCCCGGAATATTCAACAGTACGGCTTTAATTTCTCCATGAAATTAAACACATAACACAGAATTTGAAGTTTACAGGTCAGATCTGTGGAAAGACGATCCCTCTTACAATACAAATGCAAATGTTTTTCAAAGTATTCAGTCATAAATATGTGTATAATGTGATACTATACAGCATTTCTAGACAATAACATCTCCGTGAAGACAAGCTGGTAGTGGCCCCACAAGAAAAGTTACATAGTGCACCTTTAACTTGCATGAAATTTCTCAGGTTTTGCATTTCAAGTCAAAAAATATTAGTCATGATATAAACAGCTTGGTGCAGTTTTCCTTCCTTATTGTCAAAAAAATGAAATAAGAAGTAGTGTACTGAGACAAATATTCTAGTCTCATCATACCAGAAGACATTTGTAATCAACTCTTTGCAAAGAAAGTGAATCATTCCTATGAATAACTATCCAGCTGCAGTGGCTGCGCACAAAGCAGGTTACAGCCAATTATTTATTCTGCCTGAGCTCAAACAAATGGGTCAGGACTGTGTGATTTCAAATGTGTGTGAGGATTTTTGTACATCTCATCATCTCACTGCCATTATGGATTAAATAATGTACACAGGAAGCTATAGACTGACATAAAGGTGCAAATACTTCGATTTTTCATATACTAGGTAGTTGTATGGCTCCAGAAAAAAGTGCTAAAAAACTAAACAAGGTCATATACTAACTAAAGATACAAAGTCAGTCAATTTAAATGTGAAATATATTATGCATGACTTAGTGACATACATAGACAATTGTTAGTATAATAACAAGAACAACACTACCAGTCAAAAGTTTGGACTCACCCTCTTGTATATGTTTACTACTTTTGACTTTTTATATATATGCAAAAGACATCAAATATATGAAGCAAGATATATAGAATTATTTAGAAAAGAAGTGGAAGAACTTAACATCTAAAGTACCCGGCTACATCACTTAAAATAATCAACTTCAGTAACTACTTCTTTGATTACTATGAAATTTTGCAAATGCAGGTGAATCAGCTGTATGTAAAAGTTATTCTGTCTCACTTTCATTCACAGGAGAAGCTTTAGTAAGGATGTTTTTACGGCGAGGTAGATAGGAATGTTTCCAAACTACACCACCAGTCAAAAGTTTGGACTCACCATCTCATTGACGTAAGATATATGGAATTATGCAATAAAGAAACATTAAGTTAAATAACTCTACTGACAATCATAATAATAATATTTTATAAACAAACTCACAAATTAGTCACCTTTTGCTTTGTCAATAAAGATTTTGTCAATGGAGATGTGATTGCTTTGTCTGGAATGTTTCACAGTACGGTATTAAACATTCCTTTCTTCATGGAGACCAAAGCAGAGCAAGTCAGATCTGTGGAGAGGCAACCCCGCTCACAGTCAGAATGTCTGTTTTTGTAGGTATTTTGAGATGTGATTACATAATTGTAAGGTAAAACTCTTTAATGTCTGTTTAACATTCCAGCCAGATCAGTGACATATCCAAAGAAACAAGCAGGTAACAGACTCCTAACCAAAAAGTTGTACAATGCACCTTTAAATAACTACTAAATATTTTTTGACAAAGCAAAAGGTGACTAATTAGTGAGTTTGGTTATACAATATTTAATATGATCATGAGTAGAGTTATTTAACTTTCTTTGTTGCATAGAGAGAGAGAGAGAGAGAGAGAGAGAGAGAGAGAGAGGGGAAAACACTGAATGAGATGGTGAGTCCAGTAGTAGTTGGGAAACATTCCTATCTACTTCCCTGGACAAACTTCTTTACTAAAGCTTCTCCTGTGAATGAAAGTGAGATAGAATAACTTTTACATATAGCTGATTCACCTGCAGGTGCAAAATTTCATAGTAATCAAAGAAGTAGTTACTGAAGTTGAAGTACTGTGTAACTGCAAATGATTTTAAGTGGTGTAGCCAGGTACTTTAGATATTAAGTTCTTCCTCTTCCACTCTGAATCCTTTTCTAGTGCTAAAACAAAGCAGGAAGTCACATTTGGAAAGTCTAATAATCCAGGTACATGGTGTCCCTGTTAGACTTTCCTCCTGCTCCAACAGCTGCAGATAAACCAGCTGTCAGCCCGTGTGCTACTCCCAGTGTGAGCACGGCTATTAAACTCCTCTGCCTTGTTTTACTCCTTTTGTATCATAGACATGGGCAATTTAATACAAAAATATATATTTATATTGATGCAGCTGATGGCATAAACGTTCCCTCAGTGTATAGTGTTAACTGCAGGCTCTGCTCTGTCTGAGGCTTTATTAGATTTAATTTGAGCTTTATTTTAACACAATCTGTACATAAAGAACTGCATTAGCTGTGGAGTTGATTTGTGCTGTTAAACAAGTCCCTCTCAAATAGCATTAATTTCACTCAGGCTCCTGAAAATGTGCTGTTTAAATCCATTTTGTGTTTTTTCAGACTATCTTAAAACTTTTTGTCAATGTTAGCCAATTTGTGCATTGTGCTTCCCTGGTAACTCCTAAAAAATCCACCATTAGAGATACATGTAGACCACCCCTAGAGTGATGTGAGTGCAAAGGATCAATTTCAATGGCCATGTTTTCAGTTTTATCTCAGTTTGTGTACTCTTTTTTGTGTACAATTTGCGTTTCTTATTGCTTTACCAGACTATTAAAGCTACCTTCCCCATTGAGATCACAAAGCAATTTGATTGGTTGGATCCACCTGTGACTCATTCATAAATAAATGGAGGCAGGCCAATAGGAAGAGGGGATGAGGAAAGGTATTTGTCATATTAAATGGTTCTGTACCTTATTTTTACTGATTTAAAACTTCTTTGAATTTATAAATACTTTTCACAACTTTCACAAACAGAGCAGTGCTTTGCCATTGCAATAAGCAACAACTAGCATGTTAATGTGCACTCTGATTATTGGACTTTAGAATTAAATGCAGACAGTACACAGAGGTCACACTTTGACTTTAAA